CAGGGTGGTTGAAGTCCCCCATGAGGACCAGTGCTTGTGACCGCGAGGCTGCTCCTATCTGGCTATAAAGCGCCTCATCTGCTCTGTCCTCCTGGCCAGGTGGCCTGTAACAGACCCCTACCGTAACATCCCCTATCCGTCCCCGTCCTCTAATCTTGACCCATAAGCTCTCTGTCAGCTCGTCCTCCGACCCCAGGCGAAGCTCCATGCACTCCAGCCGGTTGCTGACATAGAGAGCGACACCCCCTCCTCGTCTCCCCTTCCTGTCCTTTCTAAAAAGCTTATACCCCTCCATGTTGACACTCCAGTCATAGGAGTCGTCCCACCACGTCTCCGTGATGCCAATAAGGTCGTAGCCCTGCTCATGTGCACGCATCTCCAGCTCATCCTGTTTATTTCCCATGCTGCGTGCGTTGGTGTACATACACTTCAGCTGGGCCTCCGACAAAGCCGACTCGCTGGCTGGAGCGACAGGGGTTCTCTTGGACGGCAGTGTAAGTTCGTTTGAACATACCTGCGATCCTTCCTCATCCTCTGGACCCTCGGTGCTGGCACTTGTGCCATGCTGACAGCGGTATGAATCTGACTTTTCATGGAACATTTGAAAAATTAAAATAATTTTGTAAGTACTTGAATGCTAAATGGTGAATAGATACTATTAGGTTTCTTAAAATGGTGGTTCTTGTTATGACCTTTTAATTTGTTGTCAGAATCCGAAGGAATAAGTTAGTCACCGGGGGAAGAAGAGCTAGGATAAAAGGCCAGGTTCTTTTAGTTTTGCTTTTCTCATAGCAATAGTGCAATGCCTTTTCCAGTTGGCACAGCGACAGCAGTTCAGTTCCTTCCAGTGCCAGCCACAGTTAACAGCCCGTGAGCGCAGGCAGCAGTCACCTAACGATCTCTCTCAGCACAGTTGTGCCCAGGAAGGGCCAGGGATACTTTTTGTGGCTGAGGATAAGCAGTCTTCTGCCCGCTTTCCTGATGGCCTTTCCTCTGGCAAACCTCAGCTCCGTGAAGGAGAAAGCAAACCCTTGATTTGAGACTGTGGCTGGTGATACAGCAGACTGCGCTGCGTCTGTGTCCCACCGTGATGCTCTGAGGTGACCTGTCACCTCAAATAGCTACCTGGTGTGAAGGGCAGCTACTGATAATCTGTAGGGTTCCTAAGACCATGTTTGGTCAGTCTTTGACCTCTATTTGTTTGTGATACAGATGTCAGCTAGCCAGAGTTTGTTGGAGTCAACTTTTGTTAGGAATTGATAGCTAGCATTTGCTCTGGTTGGTGACTTTTGGTAATCATTTTGTCACTTGTGGTTTCTCAAGCCTTCCTGCCTGCAGTCCCTAAGGTTCTCTCTGACCCAAAGTGCCACCTCTTTCCAATCTGATCTAACCTGTCATTGTGAGCTTCTCCCCTCTGCGGTGTTGGAGGCACTGCCCGGGTTGCTGAGGAAGCCGCTGTGCCCCATGGGTGCCCCTCAGGAATTCTTGCAGGCACCAACTTCATTTGAAAACCTGATGATTTGAGTGAGACTATGTCAGTGTTTCACATGCATCCTTGTGTTTTGGGAGGTGTGCTTTATCAGCCAAGAGCCAGGAGTAGAGGTCTGCGAATAACTATATCTCACAGCTGTTCTTCAACTCTTGTGTTTGCAAAGATTAAGACACAAGAGTTTGGGAGAGCATTTTGAGACAGGCTGTACTTTGGGTCTGGACGAGAAAACCCGTGCAGGATCCAGCACAGTCTGTTTGCATCCAATTCTTAAGATTTTCTTTTCATTGTTGGAGCTTTCATAATGGTTGTGGTCTGAATCTGCTAAAGCTACAGATATTAACTGTTCAATGACACAGGGATACCAAAATCTTGTTTACAAAATTAACAGATATCTTGACCTATATAATCAGTGTACTCCTGATTTATCTATTCGTGATCCCTTTTCCAAGAAAAGTAGCACAACATACTATATTTTTATATGTACTTTTTAATGCAAAACTCATTACGGAGGGAGATACTGTTAAATGAAAGAGTATCGAGTCAGGGTGTAATGGGAAGAAGCCAGCTGGTGGGAGATGAGGGTGGGAGTCCATTTGAGTTGGAATGGAGCTGGTTAAAACTGTCACCCCTTTCTTGTCTATGTGGGGAAACGTAGAAGTTTAAAAAGGGGAAAATGGGCCAGGCTAAGGGTCTTCGGAGTTGCAGGCAGGAGACACGGGAGGCTAAATGAATGAGCTGTGGAGAGAATCCCTGACATCAACCCAAATTTTATGTGAACTACGATTATTATCTGGCACGAGAGTGCTTTGTGGAAACTAGACTGCAGAGAAAAAGAATATATGGAGACTTAAAAGTACTTGACTGTCATTTCTTTAAAGAACTGAGCAATATAAATACTGCTGAACTCTGTCCAGGCTTGATGTGGAACTGATTTATAAGGTCATAGAGCTCTCAGCTGCATTATAAATGATGTGGGTAATGGTTTTATTGCGCTAATTCATATGTTAGATGATTATAATTATCCAACTTTTTCCCCCTTTACAGGTGGCTTTGTTATTGCAATGTCCCTCAGTTCTGTGACAGTCTACCTCGGTATGAAACCACCCAGGTTTTCGGTAGGACATTGCTTCGCTCTGTTTTTACTGTAATGAGACGGCAATTGCTGGAACAGGCCAGACAAGAAAAAGACAAGCTTCCTCAAGAGAAACGAACACTAATCCTCACCCATTTTCCAAAGTAAGGAGTTGCAATGTACTTGCTTTCAAGGTTAGCCAGTAGCATGCAACTTTGGCATGGAAATGGAAGAATTACCTGCAGCTTAAAATAGTTTCTCCTTTTATTCAGTAACAAGTAGATACTGCAGCTTTCTTTTCTCCCATAGCTTGAACTTGTGTATTTATGGACACAACTGCTTGTTTTGCTTTGTCCTAGGAAATTACTTTATAAAAAGGATTATTCGTCTTGCTGGGGGATTGTGGGTATTGCCTATTAGCAGATATTGTTGGTCACTTGTTTTCTTTTTCTGTAGTCCTTGGAAGCAAAATAGGTCTGGATTGCCAAAAACTTATGCTTACTTCTGCTTTTGTGGTGGAAAAAAGTGAAAAAGGGAGTATTGTACTGCAATTTATATACACCTAAGAATTTAGTTTTTATTCAACACTGTAATAGGGAACAATGTAGTCACCCCAGCCCCAGAAGGGATACGTTAATTTGACAAAGAAGAGAGTAGTCAGTATAAAGCCGCGTTAGTGAATCCTAAACTCATGGATTTCCTATGGACTACTTGTTCCAGTACTGGAATATCGATGATGATCTCTCACAATTGAACAACAATAATTCATATTGAGGTGTGTGGAAGAATGACTTGTCTCGGAACACGTTCAACTTTGACAGTCCTTAATTTCAAATATTTTACTGGTGGTTAAGGGTGATGGTGGTGACAGGATCATTCATTGTATGCGTCCCGTTAAAACAGTGTATCACTTCAAAAGTATCCTTATTTTGTGAGTGCCACTTGGCTCTCTAGACCATATTTTAAAAGACTGTCCCTCCTAACAAGAAAGGAACTGAACCCAGAGGAAAGCTGGTGACACTGATGCTATGCAAGCTACTGGCTGGGGATAGGGTTGGGTTATTGCTTAGGGGAATGAAAAACAGCATGAGGTTTCCAAAGCTGTATAGAGCCAGGATTTGTTGCTTCTCCTATTATTAGTAGTGCCTTTTACCACTTGGAAGAACATAAACTGTCTCTGGGGTAGACTGTTATGGATACAGGAATGTTTGTGTATAACTGGGAATAGGATCCTGAAGTAGATATAAAAAAAGGATATAACACCTCATTGATACAAGGAACGGATTTGCGGAGGAAGGAGGTGTGCATCATACGCCCCTATGTTTCTCTGCCTTTTACAGCCTAGATAAGTAGTTTGAAAAGTGTTATTATTCACTGCAGTTCCTTTTAATATTCTGGGGAAAAAAAGAAAGACAGGCACTGTTTGCTGGTGATCTGTGGGAAATACGAATAACATTTTAAATCTTTTATGGGCTGTACTTGTCTGAAGCATTTGTCTCCCTGCTGACATTACGCAGAGTGAACCCTGCGGAGGAGCTGGGCTCAGAGCATGGAGCCGGTGCCTGGCTTCAGTGCAGGGCACCCGGCTGCCCCAACGCTCCTTCCTGGGCTAAGGGAGCACCCACAGGTTATGGCTGTGTGTACCTAGGAAATAGTCGCCAAGGGGTCAGAACGCAGAGCCTCTGTGCTGCCTGTAAACGTAGCCTCGTCTAAAGTTTAAGTTGTGCTTCTGCTCTGTCACAGATGGTCACGGAGCTGTCAGAAACTTTTTAGCTATTATCAGCTGTATAGATAGCAGGAAACACCATACACTGCTCTGCTTAGGTATAAATGTCCTATATATAAAATAGGAGAGTAGGACTTGATCCTGAAAATCCTTATCCTGTTCAAGAAAGTCTTACTCAACAGTCCTGTTGGTTTCAGCTAGACAGTTTCTATACATATAGATGACTGGAGAGAGTAAAAATGTGCCATGTCATCTTCTGGTCTGAAAACCATATTAAGCTATCCTGTTTCTGAAAGGGACTTGATGTATTAGCCCTGTGAAGGCAAGCATGCTGGATAGTCTGATCTGTGCAATTTCTCTCACTTACAATTCTGAGAGAGGTTTAAAGTCACGCTGTTTCTGTAAGTGTACTAAAGTAAGATTAAAAATACTGCTATGCAAATACAAACATGCAATTAAATATTACGGTAACACACGTAAAGGAAAGAAAATATATTCTAAGAACATTGTTAATAACTAACACTGAGATTTTATAAATCTGTTAAGAGGCAAAAAGCAAGTGCCTCTGCAAAACACCGGTTTATCAAAATAGACCTATTTTGTCATCACTGTGTAACATAAGTACCTTAACATCTGTCAACTCATAGCTTTCTTATTAGTGCACAGTTTTGTTCTGTAAGAGTAGTTTGGAACTATTTCTTTCTGTGTTTGCAAATTAGGTCAATATTGCTTATAATCAAAGATAAATTTTCATAGGTGAAAGCACTCTACTGAATTAAGAAACTTAAAGTCTACTCTGGCTTGTGATTTTGTGTGTGTGTGTGTGTGTGTGTGTTTTTTTTTGAAAAAGGAATTGGCCAACAGCATTTTCTTACTGAATCATTAAGTGTTTTTAAATTTTAAAAAGTGGCAAATGCTTATTCGGAAAAAGAACCTGTTTTGAATGATCCTATTAAGTTAATATTTCACCTGGTTTTGTGCCTAGGTTTCTGTCAATGCTGGAAGAAGAAGTGTACAGCCAGAATTCTCCCATTTGGGATCAGGATTTCATGGTGTCTAGTTCCCGAACTGGCCAGCTGGGAATCCAGACAGGTAATTTGCATTTAGTTATGGGTAAAGGAGCACCTGACTTGAAAGATAAACCTGTACAAGTGATGAATTATAAGTAACGAGACTTAGATATGCAGCTTTATAAATAGCAGGCTATAGTGAAATCATTCTGCCTGAGGAAGCACAGGTGTCTGGCTTTCTGGTGCTTCCTCACATAAAGATCCCATTTTGACAATGAAATCCAGCTAATTAAAGGTGCTAGTGGAGCAGGCTGGCTGCTGAGGCAAATCATCTGAGTATTCAAGTGGCACAAGTGTGCTCAATGTGGACAAGTGAGAATGGTCAGTGGGTAAATGGCTGTGGTGGGTGACCTGCTGGGCAGTGTTTCCCTCGCGTGAGGACCTACGCCAGCCCTCTGCCTCCCTGGCAGTAGGGATCTCGGGACCTAGCAGCAGGGAAGTAGGGATCTTCTACATCAGATGTCCCATTGCCATTGCACACATGCCTTTGATTGTCTTGGATTTTTTTATAGCTTTTCCTTGCTTTGTTTCTTATTCATGTGCCTCATCAGCTATTCTGCAGCTTTATTCACTTTTTCTCAGTTAGAGTACTGAGGTGTAAGTCATCCCTAAGATTGCAGGGAGACATTGATGATTGCTTTCTTTCATTTTCCCCTTCTCCTCTTCCTTCCTGCTCAAAAGTATTTAAAATCCATTGATGTAGCTCAGGACTTGACTTCAATTTTCAGTTATTTAATTCAATATATTCTAACAATTCAGTATTTTGAAACAATTGTTGATTATCAGTTGACAAAACCATCATGTCAGCACTTCATGTGATAGTGAATTTCCTAGAGCAGTAGGGAAATTCCACTGTGACAGATACAGGCTTTTGTGTGAGAAATTCCTGGTCTGCACCATGAACTGCTGAATTATGCCCTAGGCACAAGTTCATTGCAATTCTAAAATCATGTTGCTCTCAGAGTTCATTCTATTATGTACGTATTTGCAGTGCTTCATTTTAATGTGCACCTCTTAAGCACGTTCTTGGCATGAACATGGCACAAAAGAGCTGGTGCTGGTGATGACACCAGGATAAAGGCAAGCAAAGGGAAAGACTGCAGGTGTCCAGACTACGAGCTGTCATCTCAATCCCTCGCCCGCCTGCCGAAAGTCCTGACACAAATGAAAACTGGATGATTTGGCATGAGTGTTATTTAAAAAAAAAATATTAGAGATGTTAGTCTGTGGCTTTTCAAAATAATAGTTTCATCCTCTTAACCAGTGCAACAACTTCTCCCTTTATTGAGTTTGATTTGTCTAACCAGTCTTTGAACACTGTTAAAGTGGACAGCTGAAGCTGAATGATGAGATTTTGCTTTTCAATAGACCCTTACAAAAAGCCTTTTCATGAGGCTGAACTCCAGCAGGCTTGGCAGGTATGTGAAGGAAGTTTGTTTTCTTAGCTTGTGCTCAGCACAGCAGAATAATAAAGCCTGATATTTGCAATGAAGTAAAGCTAACTCTGTCGTCCAGCAGTAATGCAGTCCCTTGTTAGGCAGAAGTTTAGAAAAATATGTTGAGATAAAGCTCTAATGTCTCTGCTTGCGAACTGGTGGCATTGCTCTGTTGCGCAACGTTAGCTGTTACTTGGCAGGTGGTGGGTGTGAAGTAGGTCCCTCGTTGTGACAGTCCTTCAGTCAGCACCGTAATGAGTTCCATGTCCTGATTTTTTTGTGTTTGTCTTTTATGCCATTGCAGTTATCAGTCCTCCTCCTGTCGCAAGATCCGTTTCATACAGTGCAAGTCCTTCATCTCTGGAGCAACCCAACAGTGGGAACATGAGTCCTGCTTGCAAAGTTTCTTCTGCCCTTGACCCAAACCTAGGTAACAAAGACAGAGACTTGCTTTTGGGCTTCTGTCAATGTTATCAGTAGTTGCAGTATGTGGTGACTATTGCCTTCACTCTGCAATAGCAACCTTGAGGTGTTTTTGCTAAAAGACATGCACAAACATGTTTTTTTTCCACTATGGTAACATTTAACTAGCAGAAATTGCAACTGTATTTGAAAAAAAAAAATGGTTTGTTTAAATTTAGTTAAAATGGGGAAATGTCTGCTGGCATCAGAGGTTGAAAAACACTTTCTAGGAGTACATGTATTAGGAACCTTGAAAAAAGGTTTTGTTTAAATAAAGACAGAGTAGAAGGGGCCATTGCATGTGTATTTTTTAATCTTTCAAGGTACTGAAATCGCATACATTTGAGCGATAAAGAAAAGCACAAACACACCAACTAGGTTAAATTTAAAACTTGAATGAGGTCAGATTAAAAAAAAAAGGATTTTGGAGAAAAAAGTAGTTGAATGCATAAACTCTGCTAATAAATCCTTTTCCAAACATCTCGGGATTAATGAGCCTGTCAAGAGAGTTTGTAGGTCAGAGAGATGATTGTGAGCTCATGTAAAGTAAGTCCTCAAGGAAGCAGAAAAAGCTAAATGAATTCTTAGCCTCGATATTCATGACAGAGGAACTTCGGGTGACTCCTAAACTGCAGCTTTCTTTGAGGAACAAGTTGGGAAATGTTCTTAAAAGTGGGAATGGTGTAGAAGATTTTTTTTTTTTTAATACAGGTCAGCAAAAGGAGTGCTAAGTAGTCACTGGAAGAAGTATATTTTTTTGAGACTATGAAAAGAAATATGGAATTGACAAACTATTAAGTTGTGCAGCTGAGCTGTCATTGCAATTGCCCTCAGCACTACAGAATTGAAACATAGAGATGCAAAACTAGTTTTCAAAGGGGTTCTGAGAGAATTCAGGAAACTGTCAATTGTAAGTCTCCTATTTCAGGCAATTAGAAGGAACAATAATAAACTGATTAAGAATGGGATGAATAAATGTGTGAGTAATGTGATGTGTGGAAATCCAGTGTGCCTTTTCTAGAATTTACGAATTGTATGTATCTGTGAAGGAAGTGGTGAGCATTTGAAAAAAGTTTTGTGTACTTGGATTTCCAAAAACCTTTTGACAAATCGCTTCATAAAATTCTATTTTAAAACAAGAAATTAATCCCTTGGGAAATAAGAAGTAAGGTCAGTTCACTTATGAATAACTGTTTAAAAACTAAAAAATAATAGGAGTAAACCGTTTCCACAATGAAGGGAGGTTAAATAAAATTCTGTTGTTAAGAAAACAATTGTACTGCTTGAAAGTCTTTCCTTAGTGAGGCAAAAAAACCCAAGAGAGCAAACCAACTTATCTCACTTCTAAGTGCTGATCACAAAGGCAAAATTCTGCATC